GTTTTGCTGAGTATATAGGTGCTTGGCATCAACTATTGAAATCCTAACTATAAAATATCTAAAATTTGTGTACGTATCGCGCAGTGAGTGAAAGATTTAATCAAACTGCGAGCGTGTGAGTTCTTATCAGCAAATACACTGATTTCAGCAGATTTCGGTTCAAAAAATAAATGTACGGTAACATGCACGACCTTTTGTACCATGCACTAAGAGACTAAGCGCTACATCCTACGAGCGCCAAATGATAGAAAACGGGTTAAAAAGAACAAAACTGCTTTCGGAAAAAGTTACTTTGTAAGTGGTTTTTTTTATAAAAAGTATCAGTTTTCGTTTTCCTTGAGTTTCTGTTCGGACGAACTTTTTCGGACATAACAGCTGTACGAGCGGTGGTGCAGGGACGTCGCCACGTGTCTAGATTCTCCGCTCTATGTATATAGTGTACCTTGCGTGTGAGAGAGATAGCCCTGGGGAGAGAGGCAATGATCGCGAAACGTGTTTTCTGGTCTCGTCGTTCGCTGCGGGCGGAACCGCCTGTCATTTGTCGCGTGTCGAAACTCTTTACCGCGTCATCCGCGAGTATGACGACCGGCCGCGATTATCTTCTCGTGCACGTGCTAAAGAGACCTAGATAGAGAGTTCAATATCCTGTCTCAAAGTCCCCTTGGCAGGACGCCCGGATATTATATTATCAGGAATAGATAATAGAAGATCTTCTATTATCTACTCCTGATATTATCACGACGCGCTAATCTTGTTGCTGCGTAAACATCGAGTAGCTGTGAGCGATAGCCGGCAGATTACTGCGGCTCTACAGACCGAAGTTATTTGTAAGTACAATAATGACGAATTTAGAAAGCATTAAAAAAGAGTGCAGAGACTTGGACGGTACGGCGGGGTGCCTAGAGAACGACTTATCGTCGTAACAGTGTTGGAGGCAATGATCGATGATACCTATATATTGGGAAATAATTTTATTAGCTAAGCAAAGGTCGATAACATAAGGGTGCAAGGGTTGTTAGACGACGGCCAGTAATATGCGATAGTAAATTATACTACTACTAAATATTAGCTAGGCAAATGTTAGTCAGATCGCTTAGCAAGGTTGTTGGCTGCTAAGGAAAAGTCAGTGATATTGGATAGGGAGGTTGTTAGCTAGCGAAAGGGGTGAGATCAGGAAATGAACTTTTTTTAGATAGCGAGGTAGATGTGATTGCAAGGTGAGAGAGAGAAGGTTGTAAAATGTGCAAGGAGAGTGTTATAGGTATGAGCTGTATAGGTAAATAAAGGTAGTTCTACTGCAATGGCCTATACTGGTGGTGCAAAGAGGAATGTAGTAAGTTGCGTTTTGCCGACAACACATAGACGGGCTATACACGTCCCCGTGGCTGAGCCCATGTTGGTCTTCAAACCGACAACGATCGACAAGACAAGACAAGACGGGCAACTTGATCCATGGTATCAGAAGTATAGATAATAGGGAATTCCCTATTATCTACTTCTGATGGTGTGTATATAAAATGCTCAGTGAAAGCTGTGTAGCCAACATCCAAAATTAAGTTAATGAACATCAATATGCTAGAAACCTTGCGTAAGTATATTGACATTTGTCCGTTTTTCATAGCTGTTTGCCGGTACTAGTAAACTGCACGCTGTTGTATTTTACTACCGCGTTTTATAACTCAACATGTGGTGTTCGATGTCCAGAGCAAACAAGCGTACACGCTTTACATGGTCATTTATCATGCGAGGCACGTGAAACAATGAACGTCATTGGCAAAAAGTTGTAAAACAATGTTTTCCGTCGCTAATTTATAAAATTATGCGATGGTTTTGCTTGGCAGTTTGAACGATCAGAGTTTTTGTTCTGGGCTGTAGTTTAACTTCACCCAAATAAACGCACGTACACGTTTTCATTGCAAAATCTTTGCTTCTAACTCGAAGATGTTGATCGAGTCAATGACGATGTGATCTTCCGGCGAGATGCCTCTGCAACCTGGGATTCCGTACGTATGTCTGTAATTGGCGCTGAAAGGATCTGTGTAGTCAGGTGTCTAGTGTCTGTGTGTTGTCGGAACGTGTACCTCTACTAGCTCTAGCCCTAACGCATATTCTAGCATCATTCTAACCTAGTATACTAGTAACGTAATCATACTATATTTTTAAACTAATGCTAGCCATAATACTGCCTAACACAATGCTGCCTAGTAATTCTAACCTAATTATAAGCTAATTCATCCTAATCATAACCTGACCCTAGCCTAGTACGCATCTAATACTGCCTCAATGCTATTAAACCTAGTACTAAACCCTATCCTATTCCTAGCCTAAAACCTACCTAATCCTACCCGAACTCTGACCTAATCATAATCTAGTATTTCTTAATCTTTATTAACCTAATCCTAACCTAGTACTAGCCTAACCCTAATCAAATAGGCTAATACTAGCCTAATCCTAACCCAACCCTAAACTAATACTAGCCTAATCCTAACCAAATAAGGCTAATACTGGCCTAACCCTAACCAAATAGGCTAATACTAGCCTAATCCTAACCCAACCCTAAACTAATACTAGCCTAATCCTAACCAAATAGGCTAATACTGGCTTAATCCTAACCAAATAGGCTAAAATGTCTGGAATCATAGTCAGGCCTCGAATCCCGACCTCAACATTTTGCTACACGCAAAGACCCCCCCCCCCCATCCAACCCGCCCAACCAACCAACCAACCCAACTATAATTAACCACCCAACCCCCACTGACGTGGTTGCTGTGCATGCATGCAGCGTACACAGGTGGTGGTGGGTTTGATATATACCTTCCCAGTGACACGCGCACCCGCCTATAGTAGTGTTAGTCGGTCCCAATCGATGTTGGGTAGATACTACTATCAGAATGGATTGGGTAAAAATATTAATGTTTTCCTGGTTTCATACCCCGTGTAATATTTGCGAGCAGAAGTCGAGCACACTAGTTCGTCGTTTGTCAGCGGCGTGGCGGGCAGACGATACACGATAGCAACCATTGGGATATAATAGATTTTGAGCTCTATGGCGATATTTACGCAATATAGTAATATAATATAATAGTAGTGCGTGTCAGCGTGAAATCAGCGTGTGACCTTAGCAAGTTTTGAGCGTATAGTGCTCGCGAGACTGCGGTGATGCCGTGGCTTGTGTTAATTGCAAGCCTGCTCTGGTCGTTGTTGTTGTTTTTTATAATGTTTTTTTATTTCTAGATCCACCAAAGCAATAACAATCAAAACAATAGGCATACATTGGTACATATGAACAATAATTAGTATTTGACGAGAGCTATACAGAGTAATTTTTGCCATAATATATATATATTGCCTATTTCTGTTGCTGCATGTTGCAGTAGATATCCCCTGCCAAAAAAATTATGGTATATATATGCTCTGGTCGTTGTTGCTGACCTAGCTCTGAACGCTTCACGACGGCAGAGCTAGATTCACTAGGAGCGCGCGTGCACGCACGAATGCACACACGCACGCACGCACGCGCGCACACACGCGCGCGCGCGCGCGTACAAGGGCGGTAACGGCGCATTTCACGTTATATTAATTACTTGCGAAAAACACACGTCTACGTGATACAAACAACGCCGTCGTCATGGATTCACGCACCTGTCGCTGGTTTCCTACCTGATCACAGCTCACCTGTTCACACGGAATCGCCAGGCTATGAAAACAAAATTGCATCAAAATTTTCGTTCGGTATTCTTGATTTGACTTGGTATATACCTATTGAAGCGGGGTTTAGTTGATACGTGCTCGGTCGGTTAGCAGGTCACGTACATAAATAGTTTAGTAAATTAAACGTTTACTCGTTAGTTGGAGTGTCGTACGGGTAACTCGGTACGGTAACCTCGGTAACCCGTACGGTAACCGGGTAACCTCGGTCGGTACGGGTAACTCGGTTACTATGTGATTTATGTGTGTTACATTCAAGCCATTTATCAAATGTGGTCCTAGCTGGGCCCCTTATTGTTCCAATTTATGGGGCCCTTTCGAGCGCCGAAGGCGCGAAGCCTTCCTGGGGGGCTTCAGGCAAGCATCAAAATGGTATGCTTTTATTATAATTTTGCTAGCTTTACCCTTTGACATTTAAGATATTCATCCCTTGCCAAGTTATAAAAAGTAAAAAAAAAGTTTCAATTTACTACGTCACGAATTTTCTATGGTAAAATATGTTAATTTTTTGTTGCCATTTATTTACATTAAAAGTAAGAACTAACGGGAGGGACTAAACGTATCGTCAAATTCTTACCTGATAAGATTGTTTCTCAACTAGTTAAAAATCCAAAAAACCTGGACGATTTGATATTAGCAAAATTAGTGTTCCTGACATTAATTGCTTGCTATGGGCTATGTATGCGTCACGAGTGTATGTTCACATCGAACAATATAGTAAAATAAGAAGTATAATGCAGCAATTTAACCATGAAAAGGGAACAGAATTACTTATATTATTTTTTACTATTTACGGTGACGTAATAACTTTAATTGCATATTGTTATGCGTTTAATTTCGTATTGTTATGTACGCCAGTCGCCAGACCAGATTTGCATATTGCGATCGCGTGGTTTATAATACCTGTACGATTAATTATGGGGAAGCTGCTACGGGCTGGTCCAAACCAAATCACCCTGATTGGGCTGTCCTGGCCACCACGCCGCGCGCCTGCGACGCCATTGGTCGCCGTGAGCAGCCCGGGCCGCTTGAATGATGTTAGTAACAAAGCGAGCGCAGCTGCTCGTAGCAGCGACGTGTGTAACCTTGACTCTCGTCCATCGCCGCCGTGTGTCGTGTCTGTCGTGAGAGAACTCGCCTATCCGTGACACGACGTGCCAACGCGTTTCGGCTGCGTGGACTACGGTGGCTCCATCTAGCGTCTTTAATTAGCGCGAGCAGAGGGGACGCGGGTCGGCGGCTGTAGCAGGACAACGACAGCTTGCCGCATTGTCCGAACGCAGAGCCGTGTCCGAGGGGCGGGCGGATATGCGTGGGTGGTGCGATGCGCTCTGGGATGATCGGTGGAAAGAAAGCAGCAGCAGTAGTAGCAGCGTGCAGACGTAAACCAGTTGTAGCCGTGCACCGCGGGCGACTAACAAGAGAGCCTTGTAAACGATTACAACGAGCAGGACAGAGTCTATCACCTCCATACACCTGGGGGAGCGTTGTTGGTCCAAAACGTGATTTTCGCTGGGAGGGAACGTCATCGTCGTGCATCATCGTCATTTGTGTTAATACTGGACAGTTCATGCAAGCAGTGATAGGAAGTAATACGTGCCCAGATGTGGAGCTGAGTGTGTCAGTCTGAATTTTATGACTGCGTGCAAGTGGTGGCTGAATTGAGAGACAGAAGAAAGCGAAAGGTTACCAGAGAGGATGGGTGGCGGGCGTAGCAAGTCGTTTAACCTAGAAAAGTGAGTACGAAGACATGCAGAGATAGAGAGAGAGAGAGAGAGAGAGAAGGACAAGAGGAAGAGAGATGAGAAGGGTGTGTGTGTGTGTGAGACTGTGCGTGCATGTGTGCGTGTGTATCCGTATGCATAAAAAAGTTGGCCGTAATGATGCTGCTATATAAGGGCGTCTAGCGTATAATCAAGCTCTTGGTATAATCCATGGTCGTTCCGTGCTTGGATACTCATCATACTAGTACGTGACCACCCTCATATCACTCCATCTTAATTATTCATCTCACGATAAAAATGATCAATGTGTTTGTTTACGTTTACTGGTGCTAGTGCGCGCGTAGTGTAGCGCGTGTTGGCGCAACGTGGGACTGATATTAGTAGTGATACATGTACATCAATAGTACATAATAGGTATTATCTACTTCTGATGTACATGTAATCCCATCAGCAGCCTGCTGCCATGATCAAACATACGAACGTATCCCCTGTTCACGTATAAAGCCATGCACACAGCAACTATAGGCACGAGAGCGCACACCTAAGCTGTAAAATACGGCGAAGCAGTCGTGTTTGCGTATTCGCGTCCACTATTTTCCCCGTGGAAAAGCTGAAATTATATACAGGTAGTGACACTTAGACGCCTATTATTAGTCTATGGTTGGTGACTGATTTAATTGATCTGTCACTGTTACCTGAATCAGTAAGATTATCCAGGTATGTTCATGTGTATATTGATCGGGTTGGCCGTCACAGCAGCAGCTTGCATGCTCACGGGCGCTCGCAACAAACAGACAGACGGACGCGTACACACGCACAACGCGCGCGCGTAGACATGTAAAGCAGGAGTATATACTATTAATTCCTATTATATATTCATTTTATATATATAATGTAAATCAGGAGTGAATAATAGAGAATAATCTCTATTATTCACTCCTGATATAATGAATATATTATAATAGGAAATAATATTATATAGTGCTGATGGGGGTTTGGGTAAATCTGAATGATCGCCAATTGGGAAATGGGCCAATGTTGGTGTTGAGGTTTTTAGTGTACATTTTACAACCCATTGCTTCGTTATTTGCCCACGCTTTACCTCACACACAACGATTGATTCAGTGTACAGCGCCGACGAAATATAGGCCAAGGTTTATTTGTGTGGAAACTTCAATATTGAACGTTGACGCCAAATTTTCTCACGTGAAACCTCCAGCTTTCCCCTGTATTTGCCTTCGTATCTCTCCCTCTATCGATCTGTCTATCTATCTATCTATTTATCTATCTATCTGTCTATCTACCTATCACCTATCTGTCCGTCTGTCTTTCTGTCTCTTACTCGCTGCATGTCCTCGATTTGGGTTATGCAAATGGAAGCAATACAATTTAGTGGCGAGTTGTATTCATATTATAGAACAAGGCTGTATAAAAGAGGCTCGTTTGTTTGTACGAGTTTATTGATATACGAGCTTTGGCATTGACGACACGTTTTCTCATAGGCTAAATTACCATCATTTTCCTACTCGCGTTTTCTCTGCTACTCCTTCCACCCCTCGTCCTCGTAGCTCTCCCTATCACCTCCTCATCCTCTCAGTCTCTCCTCTTCGACTATATAAAAACCGTTTTCTTTATTGTGCAGATTATATAGCGTATCGTTAAAAAGAAGGTGACTACGTTGGCACACACCTGTAGTTAACGCCTAGACTGTACTATACGTACACTAACGCGCGCGCGCGCGCGTGCGTGTGTGCGTGTGTGTGTGTGTGTGTGTGTGTGTGTGTGTGTGTGTGTGTGTGTGTGTGTGTGTGTGTGTGTGCGTGCGTGTGTGTGTACGCGCGCGTGCGTGTTACTGTAGCTTACTGGCTTATTTAATTTTGTCGAACCTGTCCGATCTCCTTCATTTTTTTGTTTATATTTTTCTTATATTTCTCCTCTCCGCGGATCTTACCGCTCCTTATCTTCCCCTTTTCCCGATTAACATTATTATGATTTGTGTTTGCTATAATTGCAAGCTAGGTCGTCGTTTGTGCGTATGCCATTGACTAACATGATGGAGTTGTATTTGTGCCTCCTCGATAAGGATATGGCGTAAGTAGTATTCCAATTACTAATACTAACATCGATATTTGTCGGGTTTTTTCCGACTAACCTTTATTCGAAGATGGATGCGCGGCGGACGAGTGTATAATACGTATATGTAATTTAATAATAATCCGTGTGTAATAGCTGCGTCAAGGATGCCGCCATGATCACACCAGACGATGAGCCACGCCACCACGCACGCCCTCTGTATCGCATGCAGGCAGGGAAACAGAGTGAGATGGCGAGCGAAGGGATAGAGGGGTTTACCGAGGAAGGGGGGGGTAAGGAGGCAAGAATGGGATTGCGGAGGGAGTTGGTGAGTTACCTATGTAGAGAGGGAAGGAGAAGGTTGAGAAGGAAAGAAGGAGGAAATGAGGAAATAAGGGCGTTGCGGGGGATTTGCGGGCAAAAAGGGGTAGTGGATTGAAGGATATTAATTGTTAAGGGAGGGAGGGAGGGATGGCGTGGTGGATCGTATGTGTGTGTTTGACAGCATACTTTGTCCTAGCTATCGTGTGAAAGGAGAACATGCACCGAGCTAGCACATACACACACACACACACACACACACACACACACACACACACACACGCACAATAAATGTAACAATATATATGTATATATATTACACACTACATGCTTTATCTGTTTGTTGATCAGCTCTCACGAGATGCAGTTTCTTCTCGATCTGACTCTGTACACAGGCTTACTCTCTGCACCAGAGTCCCTTAATTTCTAACGGGATTCCACGGAGTATACACTAAGTATACACTGAACCCGTAATCAACGGCAGTGAGACGCCACGCTGACACCCTGTTGTAGATTTGCTGTTTCTTAATCTGGCTTGTTCGCACCGTCATAGTATACACTATGCAAAATATCACGAACTACGCGCCAAATTTTGCGTAATGTGACTGTGTACGATTATATGCTTTACGCTGCACTATAGATGTGTACACTGCCCGCCTTGGCAGTAATGGTGAGAGAGACGCAGGCTCGCTAAGTATTTGTTTTCTCGCGCCGTTGCACAACCTTTGCGGCGGGAAAGTTTCGTGTGGCGGTGTACCGTAGAGGTTGGACGCTCGCCCGAAACTGGACGCTCCTAAGTGCGCAGGCGCCTCTTGTTCTGCAAGGGCGCATACGCAGTAGTCATCTGCGCATCTCGCCCAGCGAAAACGGTCGCAATAAACAAACATGGCGGCCAACCCGGTCACTCATGGAAACATTTGATTGAAACAATTTGCAATGTAGTAAGTTAGTAATTAAGACTGCGTTATGTGTGTCAGGTTACAAGGCGAAACAAAAAGAAAACAAAAGAGCATGGCTACTATTTCCTACGGCCCTGCAAAACAAGATTCAAACAAAAAGAAAACAAGAGAAAAGCAAAAGAGCATGCGCGCATGCGCACTTAAGAGCGTCCAGTTTCGGGCGAGCGTCCAAACTCTACGGGACAGCGCGGTGTCCGTACCCGCCATGCATCTATTAGTTTTTGTTTGCGCGCCCGCTCTGTTTTTATGACGTCATTGCGGCGTGAGTATGGCCCTGACCGTCGATGGGTGGGGTGGGGTTGGGCTGTCCGAGCCACTGGTCCGTTAATCGGCCTTGGTTCCGGTTTTGTGTTGATCTGTAAACCGGGAGCGTGGTCAATAACATGTCCATCTCAGTCTTGGTATATAGGGTTTGTTTCTCCAGCCCGCCGGCGTGTTCGTTTACGATCCGCCGCTCATAAAAAAGTGGAATTAATTGCTCGCCGTGATCATGACAGTCGAGTGAGCCGCATGTATACCTGTGAATACCTGCATAGACATATCTGGCACGCATCGACGCTATTCAAACATGACCGCGCACGATGTGTATGTGAGAAGGTTAGGTTAGCAGCGTTACTGGCAGCTGCTACTGCGAGCTCGTACATACGATCAAGAGCGTGGTATAAAGAAGCTTCTTAATACGCTCTTGATACGATCTCTGTATTCATTACGTTGTCTGTAACGTGTCCTGATATCGTTTTAGCAGAAAGATCGAGTGATTGGCTCGAGTCTTTATCGAGTTAGTGCAGAAGCAAGTGTGCTAGGTAGCGATAAGGGCGTGGCGCCATTTCATTGATGTAATTATGTACGCAATTATGTATTTTCATACTTTCTTATAGTTTTTTTCCTCGCTGCGGTTGACAGGATGTGTACAGATACACAGGATTCGTGTATAATTGGAAATTGAACGTGTGGTATTTTAATCGGCGAGTACCCGGTAATTTTCGAGATATCTGTCTCCTGTTTCCTGTGTTGCATGTGACCACTTTTAGCATTAATTAATAATTAATAGACAGTTGGCACCGTTATGCGTACTGCGTGTTATTCGCCATTTTATTGTAATCAGGAATAAGAATTAAATTAAAACAATATATCTGCGCATTTTTTCAATGTTTCTGTTTGTTGTTTGTTTTGAGCATAGACAAGAGGTATTTTACAGAGCGGCCAATGAAGGACAAACAACGTGGCGCGCGGACTTTGATGACGTCACAAATGCATGGCGCGAATCGTGGAGATAAAAATAGCCGTACGACACACAAACAAACTTCCGCTTACCAGCGCATCCGTTGACCTGATTTGTTGGTCAAACTCGCTAACACGTGAAAACTCGAGAAAGAGAGATGGAGAGAGAGTTTATTTGGTAGTGGTTTGAGCCAGGACGAAGTATAATGAGTACAGGCAGTTCTGAAATGCACAGCGTACGTTGAGTAGTAATAAATACATCAATAACACAAGTACGTATAGTACAACAGCCGAAGTAATTTAATGTACATGTATTTCTTCAACGTAGCTGGTTTAATTTCTCTCTCTCTCTCTCTCTCTCTCTCTCTCTCTCTCTCTCTCTCTCTCTCTCTCTCTCTCTCTCTCTCTCTCTCTCTCTCTCTCTCTCTCTCTCTCTCT